GGATCATGACCTGAGCCGAAGGCAGTCGCTTAACCAACTGAGCCACCCAGGCGCCCGAAGCTTTGAGTTCTTATCTACGATGTCCAAATGGCCCACGGGGTTCACCAGGGGAATAAAGGCTACTTGTGTTCTGTAAATGCTGACATCACATGGTTAGAGGAAATCAACCTGGTAAGTTGGAGGACTGAGCGGGCCTGTCTTTGGAGGCAGGGATTGAGTGATTGCCTGGCTATACTGCACCTCTGTGTTGAGAGAAAAAAGTGAGAGTTTGCTTATTTTATTTTATTTTATTATTTTGAGGTTGCTGTATTTTAAACAGAGCAAAACGTTTTGTGTTCATCTTAAATTTATTGTATTCTGTTTGCATGCAGCTGATTTCTTTCTTGGGGACTGTTTGCCCAATGCCATTCGAAACCCCGCCCTCAGAGAGCTTGTAATCTAGAAGGGGAGACAGCACGAGCCCTGGTCTGGAATCTGAGGCTCTCCTCAGTAAGTTGAATTTATTACTTCTTTTTAGAACAAAAGTATAAATAAAAATTGGGTCATGGCCCAGATGACAGAAACGAGAACCTTGATTTAGAGGTTCCTGTTTGCATGTCTGTAGCCACCTCAGTGCACGCATTTGGTTTGTTCTGAGCCTGACCTGTGCGCAGAAGTCTTTGGAGTCGGACTTGGGTACTGCACTCTAGCAGAAATAGTGCGCTGCTTCCCCTGGGTGCGTCTCATCACGGGTAAGCCGTTGCTTTGCATTTCTTAAGAAGTGATTCAAACTTTTCAGAAGCTGGTTCTGAAGGTTTTAATTTGATGGCCACATTTGCAGGGCTCTCAACCTCTGCTGGAAGGGACTGCCGTAAGGTAGGCTGGTGGGTGCAGTTTTCGTTTCTGTAGTGTAGAGTCACTTCTGTTAAGATCCTTGGAGAATAAAGGGGAAGAGGTTTGCTCTTAATGAAAGAGTAGACGATGATGGTGGTGGACTTTAGCTTATAAGTTGCCTCTGTTTTTAGGTAGAGCAGTGATTGACTAGTCCTCCTGACTAGTTGTCCTTCAACTCACGGCAGCACCTGTCCCTCACCGGTTCCTTTCTCCCGATCCTAGACAGGCCAATATTTTTTTTTTTTGAAGATTTATTTATTTATTAGAGAGAGGGTGTGTGCACTAGCGGTGGGGGCGGTGGGGGCGGTGGGGGCAGAGGGAGAGAAAGTCTCAAGCAGACTCCACGCTGAGTGTGGAGCTGGACATGGGGCTTGACCTCACGATCCTGAGATGATGACCTGATCTGAAACCAAGAGTCGGAGGCTCAACTGACTGTGCCACCCAGACGCCCCTAGACAGGTCAATATTTAACCTTAAGAAGTTAGGAACTTAAACCTCTCAGTGTCCTTATTCGTCATGCTCTGATCTCATGAAGGCCTATTGTAGGGTGGTTTAGGTGTAACCCTGAGGAGGGAGCAGCAGTAATGACTTCCAAAGTCCCCCTCAGGTTAGAGGGTTGACCAATGCCATTGAGATTCTCTTACAAGGAGCCATGTAACCTCCCTGCCCGATGTAGGATAAGTGGTCTTGGAAGGACCAGAAGTTCGTGCCTTAGGGTGGTTACATGGATTCATGTACCTAAAAACAATGAGAGCCTGGAGGTGTGCAGCCAAGAGTAAACTGAGGGGACTTAGCATGGGGGGGCGGTGGGAGTGGGAGGAGGGCTATGTAAGGGAAGGCTGTGTGGTTGTCTGTTTGCTCAGTGGTTGGTTGTCCCTCTGGGTTGGCGGGGGAGGGGGGGCAAACACCTGCCCTCAGACAGCACCTTTCCCTATTTTGTCGTGTGATATCGTAATATTCGGGGGTCATTTTCACATCCTGTGTGGTAGTCTCATTGTCATGAGTCTCTTTTTTGAAGATGTTTTGCTGTCATCATTGTGCCGAGGGAAACAGTTCCTCTGCACTGTTAATGATGGGAAAGGGGATCCTTATAGTTACAGCTCCCGGGGGTGATAGAAGACATTTGCCAGGAGTTCTATTGTGAAAGCGCCATGAGCCCAGGTGCAAATGTTTGGCCAACATATGAGCTGCCTTACTGTGCAGAATTATCTCAAGAACATCTGCTGGGGAGATGTCAGGACCTGGAGAAGAAGCAGTGTAGAAGCTGAGAATTTAAATGGAGTCTTATTATGAAGGTGCTGAAGGAGCATCTGATGCTTTGGTTGGATTTCTAAAGACTGAGATTCGTTTATATAGATATTCTGTGTTTGTATATGTAAAATTCTGAATTTCATTATTCAGATATATATGTTCAGGACATATATATTCGGCATACACACACACACACAATAGGAATTTCTGAATATTTGCCAACTAAAGGTAATCAAAACTTGACTAAAGTGTCCTTGGCCCTGTTAGGTGTTGCTCTCTCTTTTGACGAATGGTTCCCAGATCCCCCCTGGGCCTCCCTCTGTGCTAGCTCTGGATATGCAGAGGCACGTAGGCTCAGCTCTTGGCTTCATGGAGCTTATCATCTTGGGAGGTGAGGGTGGAGAGCAAGACTGTAATCAAACAGGCACACAAATAAATAGATAATTAGAGATTGTGACAAGTGCCCTGAAGGAAAGATAAATAGTACTGTTAAAACTTGTGGCTAGGAATCTGACCTGGTGAGCGTGGCTCAGGAGAGAGGTCCCTAAGGAAACCATATTAGCTTGCGATCTGAAAGCTGAACAGGAGTTCATTGGGTGAAGCCGGTGGGAAGAGCATTCAGTCAGAGGAGCAGATTCATCCTGTTGTGATAAATGAAGTTCAGAGAAGCTGGGCTCTAAAACATGGGATAGCTTCACAAACATGAGGAATAGTACCGCGTCGTGAGGGGACAGGTTCTGATCCGGAATGCCTGGGTTTAAATCCTGGCCCTGCTACTTGCTATGCATTATTAGGCGAGTCACTTCACCAGTCTGTGCCTTAGTTTCCCCATCTGTGAGGGCCCACAGGGTTGTCGTGAAGATCAAGTGGGTCAATGTGTAAGGTGCTCAGGCAGTTTCTGGCACATCGCCCTCTGTGATTTATTGCATATCAACGACTGATTTCTAGCGTGCTCCTATATTAACTAGGGGGGCCGAAGAAGTCCGGTCCTTTCATGGTAAGGATGAGGCCCAGGGAGATCGAGCAATTTCCCAGAGAGCAAAGAATTAGTTAATAGAAGGTCTGACCCAGGAGGAGAATTTTTTTTAGAAATTCAGTGCTTTTTCCATGAATTCATTGTTTCTCTCTTCGTTTACAGAGAGTTCTAATGGTGCATATGAGTACTTTGAACCAAAAATGGTATCTTCTATTCATTAGATTGCACATTTTTAAAAATTTGTTTGAAAATGGTTGAGTGTGGCTCTGAGTGACTTGAGTTTGGTGACCAGGTTCAGAGTCTCTTTGGGATCGCCGGTGTTGTCTTAGAATAGAATGGCCGGTTGTAGGAGATCTAAGTTGATTTCAATGTGATGGTCACATCTGCAGCCAGCAGCACTTACCCAGCATATCCCAGCATATGCCAGGCACAGGCCTGGGACACAAGAACATATGGTCCTTCTTGAGACTGTAGACTTAATGGGGTTTGGTGTAGACGCGTAAATCAGTCGTTACTCCTCCAAGTAGATGGTGCATTGCTCTGGGGGGGATGTACAAGAACGGTTTGCTGGACAGAGGAGGGAGCACAACCAACTCCCTGAAGACGAATGCATCCAGAGTGTGCAGGGGTCTCAGAAGTCCAGATATGATGCATTAACACCATGACATACTATAAAGGAAGTCCTTTATCATGCTCACCCAGGTATGTGTGGGGTGGGATGGGCATCAGAGCCAGAAGAGGACTGTGGCTGTCTTGAGAGAGATCTGCCTTTTCATCAGGTGTACTTATGTTTGGGGAAACTTAATGTGACTTTTTTTTTTTTAAGATTTTATTTATTTATTTGACAGAGAGAGATAGCGAGAGCAGGAACACAAGCAGGGGGAGTGGGAGAGGGAGAAACAGGCCTCCCGCGGAGCAGGGAGCCCGATGCGGGGCTCGATCCCAGGATCCTGGGATCATGACCTGAGCTGAAGGCAGATGCTTAACGACTGAGCCACCCAGGCACCCCTAATGTGACTTTTGGTATATCTGAGTCAGTGTTAATTATTATCTACGTTGTGATGGGATTCGAAAATTGAAACTTGAAAGTTTCCAGTTCATTCTGATTCACCATTTGCCATTCTTCTAAAGGTAGATGTTCAGAACCCAAATCTCTCCTAACACAACAAATTCTATTTCCTATCTGATTTTAGGTTATGAAAAATAGGATCTTATGTGGTAATGATTTCTAACTTTTCAAAGCACTGTTATCTACATTATCATATTTGATCCTTGCATTATTATCCCCATGTTATAGGCAAGGGGACCGAGGTTGAACAAGGTCAACTGACTTCTCTGCATAAATGGGACCTAGGGTAGGACTTCCTTGAACAGTTTGACCCTGATTTTCCAGATGGAGGATTTTGTTGGTTAGAACTCAGGTAAGAACTCTCTTAGGTAATCATTTTTTACAAGTTAAAATGACCACCATATGTGCTAGACTTCCCAGCAGAGCTGGGTAGGGTACTGTGATGGTATTACACAAAAGAGACCTTTCCTCCTTGAAGGTTCTAGGTAGAGTTCCTTCAGTGGCAGGATTTTTGGGGTGCAGGGATCATGGCTGAGACCAGCCACAGTAGGTGGTAGGAACCCAAGGCTGGTTGGATTGCAATTCCTTGGAGTTGGTCTTCTTCTGTTTCATTAAGAAAAATGTGGGGCAGGGGCGCCTGGGTGGCTTAGTCGGTTAAGCGTCTCACTCTTGGTTTTGGCTCAGGTCATAATCTCAGGGTCCTAGGGTTGAGCCCTGCATCAGGCTCTGTGCTGGGTGTGGAGCCTGCTTAAGATTCTCTTTCTTGGGGCACCTGGGTGGCTCAGTCGTTAAACATCTGCCTTCGGCTCAGGTCATGATCCCAGGGTCCTGGGATCGAACCCCACATCAGTCTCCCTGCTCATTGGGAAGCCTGCTTCTCCCTCTCCCACTCCCCCTGCTTGTGTTCTCTCTCTCGTTGTGTCTCTCTCTGTCAAATAAATAAATAAAATCTTTAAAAAAAAAAAAAGATTCTCTCTACCTCTTCTTCTGCCCCTCCCCACTCTGTCCCTCTCTTAAAAAAAAAAGTGGGGAAAAAGGGGCAACCCCCCCACCAAAACCTCACCATGGACATTTCATGCAGCTTCTTTCTGCCACAGAACTTGGTGAATACCTTAACTGGGTTGAAAATTTTCTCATTTGTGTATCTCCTTTCCCACACGTCCTGAACATTATCTGTTTAAAAGTGGCAATTTTAATTTAGTTGGAGAGATAGGCAAAACTTTCATGCTGAGTCTCCTGTAATCTCCTGTTTGTGTGAAACCGTGAGGTTGTAGGATCGCTAGGGTTGTCACCTCAAGAATATCCTGAAATTAGTTGCTTTTTTCCTCTCGAAAAGCCACTTTCATCTAATCTTCCCTAACAGCCAGTCTAAAGTGGCCCCCAAGCGACTCTCCAAACACCGCTCTGTTTTGTTTCATCATAGCAGATTCCAGCATCTGCTACTTTCTTGTTCATCCATTTGCCTCTTTTTTTCTTCCCCCCTCCATCTCCCCCCCGCTTACAAACTGCACGTGAGCGGGGCCTCTGCCCTTCTTGTTCGGGTCTGCATCCCAGAGCCTCAGACAGAGGCTGGCCCACGGAGACACTGACTGTGGGTTTGCTAAATTAACAAACTTCTCTTGATGCTGTTTTCTGATTTTTGTTTTCTTTTATCTAAAGATTGAAAAATTGGTGAGCAGCATGTTTTGCCCACTGAAACTCATCCTGATGCCAGTGTTACTGGGTAAGTAGAAACCAAGGGATCAAGGAGGGGACTTGATTTCTCGTAAGTCTCGTGCATGCATCGTCAAAAGCCACTTTTATATATTTTCGTTTCCCCCTTGGTTTGTTGAAAACGGGAAACCCTAACCTGGAACTTCAGAGTTTTGTTGGAACAGCTGTTTTCGAAGCCAGGGAGCAAGCTCTTTCTTGGAAAGCTGAATCTTCCTGTGTTTCTATTAGACACCGAAGGCCTTCAGGTCCTGAGCTGGGCGTTCTGGGACTTTCCTGTGTGCTACAAAGAACATGTCTCTCTGGGATTCCTGAATTCTCAATTGTGACTTTAAAACCACAGCTAGTCTCAGATCAGGAAATGAAATCACCAGAGAGCCCCAGAATCCCTGCAGCCCCGTGTTCATGCTTTTGCCATTCCAGCCTTCTTGTGGTTCCACAAATGTGCTGAGCTCTTTCACAATCTGGGGCAGTTTCTTTTGCCAAGAGCTCTTTTCTCCTCACCTTCCCCGAGCAAGCCTGCCTAAGCCTTCCTTACCCTTCAGGGTTCTCTGTGAGCTCCACTTCCTTCTAAAAACCTCCTCGGGCTGCCCCCGCAGGTGGGGTCGGACTCTCCCGTTCTCGAACCCTCCGAACCCTCTGTGCTCAGGGCTGCTGCTTGTGGTTCAGCTCTTCTTTCTAAGTTGTTCATCCTCTCTCCCCGCCCTTTCTCTTTATCCACAGATCTAGCTCTGTGGGAGGAATAAATGACTCAGGAGGTGCTTTGCTCTCGTCGTCTCTTATTTTTCTCTTTTTCATTATTATTATTATTATTATTTTATTTTTTTTGTAGCTGGACATGGTAACCTAAATACTGACTCAGCCAAGTACAGAAAGAACTAACTGCCTTTGCTCTAATTCCAGGGAACATAGAGTGTGCACACACAGGCAGGCAGACAGACATACAGACACCCCCCACCCCACCCCCCGGAAAAGAGGATGTATTTAAGAGAATTTGTTTTTACAGAAGCAGGGCTGTCATGCTCTGGGCGGGGGGGCTTTAGGCATTTGCTCAGAGGTGCGGGAAGCAGCCCTCCCAGCCTGAGTTAGCAACCCAGTCCTGGAGCTAGTGGCTTGCTGGCATCAGGGGGTTTGTATTTCTTTGTGGAGAGGTTTGTCCTCCTCTGTAGAAAGTCTCATTTTCTTCAGCCATTTCTCGACCGATGTGAGTTTCTCTTCGCTCCCGCTCCCGTGGCCATTTTTGCTTTCTACCTGCCCTGCACCCCTCCTGCCACACACAGCGCTCCCCAGACTCAATTACTTGCGCTTCTTACGCCTTTAACCACACATCAAGCTGCTCAGTTCTTCCTTACAGGAAAATTCCAAATAAGTTTTGGAGCTAATTTTGATTTCTTTCAAAACAAGCCCCTCCAAAGGGTTTGGAGTTCATGTTTTCTTTTCCGTCTTCCCTACCATGTGCCTGCTGTTGGGCAGGAAGTTGATGCTCTTCTCTCAGCTTGCGTGGAAAGACTGGCACACTTTCTGTTTATTCCCACATGCGTTCACTTGGCTTTTCCTCCATATAAACTGGCCAGCATCTAAACGTGTCTTTCTTGATGTTGTTGTCTCTTTGCATAGAGCACATCTTGTGAAAACAGAAATAGCCATGTAAGGGTTTTCTCTTTTAGTGAAAAGAGAAATGACTTGAGCAATATACAGATAGCGGAGTGGTGTCATGCATGCAAAACACCCTCAGGCTGAAAAGCCAGGGCTGATGACAAAACTGGAATGGGAAGGTGGGGAGAAGACAAGCACAAAGGAAATTCAAGTGGAGAGCCATGCTCTGTATTGGCCTCATTTTTTTAAAGAATGTTTTTCTTTTTCTTTTTTTAAAATCTTATGTATTTATTGGGGTGGGGGAGGGGCAGCAGGACAAGCAGACTCTGGTTTGAGCACAGAGCCTGATGCTGGGCTCGATCCCAGGACACTGAGATCATGACCTGAGCTGAAACCAAGAGTCTGATGCTTAACCAACTGAGCCACCCAGCCGCCCCTGTATTGGCCTAATTACAAGGACCTGCACGACAGCCAGAATCAGCCAGCCAAGTCAGAGATAAGTTTTTGTAAAGAAACTAGAAAAAAGGAAAAGAGGAAGGAAGCAAAAATACCTGTGAATAGGGAACCCATGGGAAACTAGGAGCAAGAGACATCTCACTTCCTGTTCATGGATGTCTAAATTTGTGACCTGAAAGGAGGATGTCAGGGTTTCTCTTCTTTCTTTAGACAGGAGCTTAGAGAAAGGAATTCTGGGAAATGGGGAAGGGACCAGTTAGGAGAACGGGAGCAGATATGCATTTTTGCAGTATGAAGATTGCAGAACCCCTCTGACTTGGGAGGCCTGTGTGTAACTAGAGGGTATCTTTCTTACCCTTGGGAATGCCGTGCTGGCTTGAGTGACGGGCCTCTGAGTACTTTGTGTCAGGTGATCTGGGGAGGGAAGATGTAGAGTTACTTAATGTAGATTACTTAGTGATTAACTGATTTTTGTTGTTGAGGGTATTTGTCTAAATGATGTCTCCTCTTGCCTTTGACTTCTATAGATTATTCCTTGGGCCTGAATGACTTGATTGTTTCCTCCCTTGAGCTAACAGTCCGTGTGGGTGATTCAGCCCTGCTGGGATGTGTTTTCCAGAGCACAGAAGAGAAGCGTGTGACCAAGGTAGACTGGATGTTCTCATCAGGAGAGCACGCCAAGGTAAGGAGGAGGAAATATTACTGTAGAAGCCCCTGGCCAGTGGTGTCAAGACAGTGAGGGGAGAGGGAGAACCAGGTCATCAGGTGCCATGAGATGGTGTTGCAAGAGTTTGGGCTGTGAAGCTTGTCAGAACTGGGCCTCTTCCTAGCTTGGCCCTTTGGCTGTGTAATCAGCTGGGCAAGTTACTCAACCTTGATGAACTTCAGCTTCCTCATCTGTGGAGATTGAAGGTCATTATCATAATGGTAACGCTTACCTTTTGGGTCATTGAGAAGTAATGGACAACATGCACATAAAGTTCTTTTTGTTTCTTTTCTTGATGTCTGCCCTTTGTAGAGTAGTATAGGTGGGTGGGAGGGCTGAGGAAGGTGAGAACATTGGTCTAGACAGAAGAGGCATGAGAATGATGTCACAGGAATCTTTTTTGTGGGGGAGAGGGCCAGATTCTTTGAGCATTCCGTGCCCCAGAGTTCACCTCTTTCTCCTTCATGGGGCTGCTTCAAGTGTTCAAGTGTTAGGATCAACTGATACAGCATGGTCTTTCATGGGAGCTCTTTGGAGTGGGAAATAGTGTATAAACCTAATTAGAGGTTCTGTGGAGATATTTGTATCTTAGGATCATTTCTGAAATACATCCTAAGTAATGTGTTACTAACAGTAAGGTCCTGAAGTTTGCTGATGAAATGTTCTTTCTGTAGCTCATAGCATGTTATTACTATAATGCTACTCTCACTCAAATTTTTATTAGTATTTTTTATTATAAGAGGGATAGGCCCATGGTGTAAGTAGAAATAAGGATTTCCCAGGGCTCCCTGTCCCAGCCTGGAAGCCACTCCCTGATGATGACTCCTTCACAAGCTGTATGATATGCTGCCTGGAGGAGGGCAGAAAGGGGAGGAGTGACAGCCAACATGCCAGCCAAGGATCGTCACAACTGCCAGTCTGGGGGATTGCATCATGTCTTTGAATGCCATCCAGTCTGGGGGCCAAGGCAGAAAACAGGGTGAACATGAGACAAGGTTTTCAAAAGTTCAGATCCCCAGAGTGGTCTTCAGAGTGGGCATTACATTTTACCTTAAACTGTAAGAAGTGAATATGCTTCACCGTTTGTCCTTGTATAAAATAAGGTACTGGGCCATGTCCGAGTTAGAGCGTTGCCTGGCACATTATTACTATTCGCTGGGTACCAAGTACTTTTTTTTTTTTTTAAGATTTTATTTATTTATTTGAGAGAGAGAGAATGAGAGAGAGCACACGAGAGGGGGGAGGGCCAGAGGGAGAAGCAGACTC